CCCCCCCCCCCCCCCCCCCCCAAGTTTGGCCAATACTGCTGGCAGCATCTGCAGGCAGTTGTCGCTTGCACCCCCACCTCTCCTGCCAATGACACTGCTGTGGCTGCCTGTGGGCAGTCCCCGCTCAGCCTGCCCTCACCCCCAATGTCACAGTGGCCGCCTGTGGGTAGTCCCTGCTTGCTGCCATCTAGTGGTCGCCGTGCCCCCGTTTCAGGAGGCACGAGGCGTTCATGTCTCTAGCCATGGGGCTACTGGAGGAACATCTGTACAGTTTGGCTCCTGGGCTATTTTTCTCCCAGAAGGAATTTCTTTTGGTAGAAATTAATGTCCATACACAGCCAATGTTCAAATGGTCTTCATACATGCTTAGGTAGAAGTCACTCCATGACTCCTACTCATTTTTGTTTTGTAATTTGAGCTAACCCAGTGCTAACATTTAATTACAACCACACATTTTCACTGTGTCACCTCCAGGGTGGTCAGAAGGGGTGGTTAAAAAAAAAAAAAAAAAGTGGCTACAAAATTGTACTTGGGGAAAAATGCCTTTAAATGCTGTACTGATTTAATCAAGTTAATGAAATCAGTTCTCACCCTGTGCCCACTCACAGGTTTAAACTTCCCGAGTTCAAGGCCACAAGATCATCTTTGATCTCACTGCAAAGCTTCACTCATTGCCCTTACCTCACCCCCCAAAAAACCTAAGGGCACGGACAAATGCACCTTGTAGCTGCTGCTCAGAAGCAGGCATCAGTTGTGATACAAATCAGTTAAATCATAAATTTTAAAGTGTTCCTACTTCACTCAGGGTTAAAGTTGCAGCAGTTTTGCTACACTTCACTCTGCAGGATTCTGTGATGTAAGGGTCACTTCTTAATAGCTCAAATCCTTGCTATCAATACAACTGTTACATCCATCTGTATCATGAGTTAGAACCAAGTGTTTAACCCGAGACACCACAGACACACCAGGAAAGCAAAGGTGCCACCAAGACCTGGCTTCCCATCACACTTTACAAGCAGAGTTGGGGAATTAGAATGCTTAAGAGCCAGTCCTCAGCTGGAGTGCGCACAACTCCCGACTCTGTGCAACAGCATGAATCACACGCCTCTTCCAGTGCACACAGACTTCACTACAGCGCCTCGTAGTTTAAAGCAAGAAAAGGACCATTAGGTTACGGAATCTGCCCTGTACCACAAGCAAATACACCAATCCATTTTTTTTTGTGGATCCAAGGACCCGTATAACTAAAGTAAAAGTTGAAACTTTGCAGCTCGGGCTACGTAGTCTGCAAGCTTTCTACAAGCTTCCCACAGGCAGGTTGTCCAGGTCGTGTCCATAAACAGAGCTAGCCTAAAGCTGGATGCTTCGTTGCTCAAGTTGGAAAACACCCAGTTGCATATTGGCTGCAATATCTGAACGCTGGCTGTGATTATGAACTAAGATACCATGTCCATGGAGGTAGAGAGAGCACTTCTCAAAAAAAGCGAGTTATTTTAATGTAGTTAAAGCTGTTCAGCCAACAAGGTAAGACTCTAAAACAGCGGTTCTTAAACTTTTCATCACATATTCCTCTAAGCTTGTTATACTGCCTTGTCTCCGCAATGCCACATTAAGGATAGTTAAGGGGTAGCTCTGTCACTACAACCACAGTAACTTCTCCAGAAGCCAACAGTATAGAGGGTTCCCATTTGTCCATCTCTCCTGCTTTTCCAGTCCCTCCTGTCTCACCCTTTGTTTGAGAAACACTGTTTTAAGGGAACCATTTTTCTTTTATTCTCACTTTATTTCATGAACTACTTGACAAATCAAGCAGACACTGAGAAGTGTCGTCATGTAACTGATGGCTATCACCATATTCATGGATAAGGGGATGGAGTTAAGGCTATGTGAACTACCTTGGGGTTTTAAAGTTTTCCTCGTTGCCGCTAACTGTGCAGCCTTAAATGACGTGCATCAATTATAGCTTTTTGGAGGTGCATATATCTAACTTTGGCTACGAGGGGGGAACTATTGTTCAAGTCTGCAATAGACACGCTCTCAGGAATACAGTTCTTTGTTTCTTGGTTCATGCCGCTTCTCCCTCAATGCTGTCTGTCCTAAGTGTCTCCTGCTTGCTGATGCAATGTAGTGGAAGGCACTGGAAAGCAGTTGGACAGCAATGGCTGTATGATTTACTTTGGTTAATTATTGGCTGATTTAGCATCCAAGTTCATACAATGTCTTACAGATGTAAGTTCCCATTGCTTGGCAAGAGGAAAGATTTACCAGAGTGGTAATTGATGGAAGTCAATCATTGTGGTGCCCTGTGACCAGTGGGGTCCCCCAAGGCTCTGTCCTTGGACCCATATTGTTCAACAACTTCATTAATGATGTGGACACTGGAGTCAGGAGTGGACTGGCCAAGTTCGCCGATGACACCAAACTCTGGGGCAAAGCATCCACGCCAGAAGACAGGTGGGTGATCCAGGCTGACCTGGACAGGCTCAGCAAATGGGCAGATGAGAACCTGATGGTGTTTGACACCAAAAAATGCAAGGTTCTCCACCTTGGGAGGAAAAACCTGCAGCATCCGTTTAGGCTCGGCAGTGCTACGCTGGCTAGCACTATGGAAGAAAGAGACTTGGGGGTCATCATTGACCACAAGATGAACATGAGCCTGCAATGCGATCCTGCGGCTAGTAAAGCGACCAAAATGCTGGCTTGCATCCATAGATGCGTCTCAAGCAAATCCCAGGATGTCATTCTCCCCTTGTACTTGGCCTTGGTGAGGCCGCAGCTGGAGTACTGCGTCCAGTTTTGGGCTCCACAATTCAAAAAGGATGTGGAGAAGCTTGAGAGAGTCCAGAGGAGAGCCACACGCATGATCAGAGGTCAGGAAAACAGACCTTATGATGACAGGCTGAGGGCCATGGGGCTCTTTAGCCTGGAAAAGGGCAGGCTCAGGGGTGATCTGATGGCCACCTGTAAGTTTATCAGGGTGACCACCAGGATCTGGGGGAACGTTTGTTCACCAAAGCACCCCAAGAGATGACGAGGTCGAACAGTCATAAACTACTGCGAGACCGTTTCAGGCTGGACATAAGGAAGAATTTCTTTGCTGTCTGAGCCCCCAAGGTCTGGAACAGCCTGCCATTGGAGGTGGTTCAAGCACCTACATTGAACACCTTCAAGAACAAAATGGATGCTTATCTTGCTGGGATCCTATGACCCCAGCTGACTTCCTGCCCCTGGGGCAGGGGGCTGGACTCGATGATCTTCCGAGGTCCCTTCCAGCCCTAATGTCTATGAAATCTATGAAATTTCAGTTTTGATCTGCATCGAGTTAAGAGGGGCTTTCCTGTTGGTTAATTTAATACAACCATTTTATTTAACAATTTACTTAAGTTTGTACTACACAAGTGGCAGTAGTTAGATCACCATTTCCTTCTCTCAAAGATCATCCAACTTGTAGAGTAGCCAGTTTAGTTCAAAATAAGTCAGCACGTATGGGGGGGTGGTATTATGAACACTGCATGCGGGTCAGACTACTGGTGTCATTTCAACTGTGAACAGCAGTAAGGTAAATCAAAGTTTGTAAAACAAGGCATATTTCCACTTGTCTTTTTCTAAATCTTGCGTAACTGATCTATAATATATACTGAGAACACAAAGTGAATTTTAGCAAACTTTTCTTTACTAAAGTCTCTTGTTATAAATTACACAAATAACTTTATAAACAAATCCCCAGCTTGCATTTTGTTTAAAGTAATAACTTTATATCATACAAATAAAGAAATTTCAAGTATGAAAAGTGCATTATTGCAATAATACCTCTTTGCAAGTCCAAAAATCTTGGTTTAGAATAAAACTGTAAAGTGTAAAAAAGGAGTAAAACAAATCAGTGCCATCTAGTCATTCAAGAAGTCCAACATCTTAAAATGCTGCTTCGTGTGCTGCAGAGGCAGATGGACATCTGGAAGCAACATGTCATTGAAAAGAAGCTACGTATGTTCATTTTGCATTGTTAATTTTTCTTCGCTCCTATGTGCAGGACTTGACAATCCTTGAATAGTGTTGCCCTGGACATCATCCGTTCTGCGCTGCTGTCACTTGCATATTTCCAAATTCCTCATCTTCCTCATGTGTTCGCTTTAAACTGCCTAAAATAAAAAAGTGGGGGAGGGAATGAAAATAGGCTTTAAGCTGGAATTGTTATAAGCACCTGTATTTGTTGTGACCACAGGACAGCCTGCACTAAACTCCCATTTTTAGACATTCAGCCTTTCTAAAACCTTCATTTTAGAGGTTAGAATTTTTCACATTTGGTTTCTAACCCAATATCTTCTGTTACCTTCGCAAGTTTGAAAGCAGGTCTGATTAGGCATCAGAGTTATTGGAGCAGCAAGAAACCCACCACTTTTCCCACTGTAAAATGTTTCAGTGCTGTTGCAAGTTTCAGCTGCTTTTTCTACAGTTGTCTTAAGTTTTAATTAAAGATCAGATTCATAGATTGTAAGGCTGGAAGAGACCTCACAAATTAATGAGTTAGGCAGCTAAAAAGTAACAATCAAGCATGTACATTAATGCCCACTCTTTTCACCATGGCCTGGCTTGAGTGAAAGCTACAGCTGGGACGAGGTAGACAAGGGATGCTACAAGTAAAAGTCTTCAGATGTGCCCAAGAAGTGCACAGCACAACTCTCCTTCTCATGCAGCCATCCCAACTCAACATTGGCTGCATGCACTGTCCATAGATCTCCCAGGGCTTTAAAAAAGTCATGGGGATACATGCCACAAGGCCAGCCTCTCTCCAGGTTATCATGGAAACAGAGAGAAAAGCAGACAAGCTCAAGTGTTTGAAACACTATGTTCCAATGAGGAGTTTGCAACCAGTCCCTGCATACCAGCTGGAGCCACTCCAACGAGAGACACTGCATTCAAAGCCATCCATTGCTGCCAATGGCAATAATCTCCCGTAACAGGAACACAATTCTGTAGGAGGGAGTGATGTAGTTAGACGGAATAGAAACGCCCTCTGCTCACCTGTAGTACCAGCTGGAACAGCTAGCGATCTTTCCAGCTGCCGTGGTGTCATCATCTGGATAGTTAATTTTGCTAGATAGATGGCTTCGTATTCCTAAAAAAATAGTTACGCATGCTGACACTAATATCCATGGCACGCTGCGACAGGGAGAGAGAGGACTAACTGAGAGAGCTCCCAGAGGCAAAGATCAGGAGAGTGCTTGTGGGAGCTCAAAGGCTGAGCAAGAAGAGTTATGTCTATTGGGACGTGTAAATTATTAGCCCTTATTTTTTGTCTCTTATGAAAAAGGACACATTCAGGAGGCCAGAGTGGAGAAGAGATGTAGGCTATGCAATGGGGGAAAAGAAAGATGACATGAAACGCAGCATGTGTCCACATGGCTCAATGCTTTATACTACCTTCCCTTCCATGCAGAGATCCCCAAGCTAAACAAGCTAGCGAGGGTATTGCAGTTAGCCCAGCACTCCTCAGTCTAATAAGCCCTGCTGGGAAGCACTGAATCGTGCGGTATAGAGATACCCAAAGAGTTGTGCAAAGGCATTTAGAGAGAGAGAAAGAAAACCGATGGAAACCAATGCTGAAGCAAGCTGAAATGTCAGAATACAGCAACTTCAGAGACTTTTGGCAAGGGCACAGCTGCACAGGGCACTAAAGATGAAGATGCATTTTACTGACAAACGCACACAAATTCAGAAATCTGGAGCTCTAAAGTGACTCTTTCCAAGGGGAAACAACTTACACAGAATACTAGAAAAACAAAGCTAACAAGGTGGCTTGCCATCTCAGCACCGGCCACCTACATGGGTATACTAGAGGCATCAGAAGCGTTTCAGCATGCCACTCCAGGGCTTTCCATCCATTAAAACAGGGCTCTTGTCAAATGTGGCAATATGGCAACTTCAAGCCTCACTACTCACTTTCATGCACTGTATTCCAGTAACATAAAATATGAAAGTCTAACGGCAGGAAACATCTTAGCTGCATAGTACAATATCCGCTTTGATGTCTTCCCTTAACTGCAGGTTAAGCTCTGGTTAAGAGGGCCCTGATGGTTAGATAAAATATGATTTTCATTTCTCCCTCATACTTGAAGCTGTTTTTCAACATTTGCTTGGGTAATGATCTGGAGGTATGACTCCCTTCTTCTGACTCGCCCCCACACCATCCAGAGAAGCAGGTCTCAGGGACTATGTTAAGCAGATACAATCTTGTTAAATGTTAAGCCACAGGAAAAGCACAGATTTACAGCTGCATGACCCAAGATGTGTCTGCCTTACCTTTCCAGCCAGATTCAATGTATGCTTAAGTTATAAACCAGGAAAAAAAAATAAACATTACCTGAAGTTGATGGACAAATCCAGCATTAGGATTGATACAGAATCTTCTTTCTTGAACATAAGTAAATGCATCCCTTAATGAGGGGGGAAAAAAAAACACCACTGCAGTCACTCATCTCTACTGAGCAATCAAATCTTTACAGATGCAATAGTCTGTTCCTTCTGGATTTCACTTCTTAGGAAAAAGCACTGCAGAAAATTTTCAGAACTGGCATTTCCGTCTCCAGGAAGATATTATACTGCCTTCCCTTTTTCATTCCTAAAGCCACACAGCTGGTCTCATTCAAGGACCATGTAAAACGAGTCCTCTGAACTGCACTTATGGTGGAGGCCCTAGGAGACCATTTCAGCAAGGAGGAACACAAGCACTGACACCCTGACCTAGACCACTGATCCCCATCTCCAAAGGTGCCTAGCATCTTGTTTCAAAGGAAGGTAACTGAAAGGTTGCAGGAGGCAGTTACGGGGTAACCCATGACTAGAGGAACTTTCTCTGCACCCCATTCATCAGAGGTTGAGTTACAGGCTGAGACAAGCATGTCTACTTTTCTTCAAAACCTATTACTGATTCTAAACTCAACTCTGAAGTACCTTTTTAAAAGGCACTTACCTGCCAGATCTCCTAAATGGATTTCATTATCTGCCAAAGACTTGACAACTAAGCTACAGAGCTGTTTCTGAGTACTTTTCTTACCTGTACTTCACTCCAAATGTTTCCATAATATATGCAATTACTAAGGCAGCACTGAAAAGAAACAAGCAAATTTAGAAAAATATATTGCCATAATTCAACTAAAAAGAAAAAAGGACAGATTCCTACCTTCTAGAAATCCCTGCATTTCCATGGACAAGAACTTTTCCTGAGAAGAGACAGAGTTACTTACAGAGACAAGTAAAAACTTCCACATTTACCAGCTTTTCGTCTTAAACATATCTATGCAGCAGCAAGATATGAAAGGAAGAGTTGATAGGGTGCAATTTCACTCTAGATTTCTAAATTAGGATCTCCCACCACACTGCATGGAAATGTATGAGCATGGCAGAGGATGACTTTAAAGACCTGAACTACAGCAAGACAAAGGTAAGACACAGGCCTACATCTACAGCAGCGGTTCTCAATCTTTTTCGATTCAAGCCATCCCTTGGGAAATGCCAGCTCTTCGTTTTCACTCATTTTTGACTGCAGAAACGTAACAGAACAATTGTTCCATTGCAAAAAACTCAGAAAGACCCCAAAAGAGGCGGTTTTAACACCATTAATTTCTATTTGAAATCTCTGCGTTTATCTTGTGTATCATACTATGGAACACTGGAAAGGATCTCAAGCCACCCCAGGGTGCTGTGGCACCCTGGCTGAGAATCACTGATCTAAAAAGACAAAATCCATGAACATGGAACAGTATTAATTTGCAAAAGAGAATTAGGACTTGCAGCAAAAAAACCCCTGTGTTATGAACAGGAATAGGTTATCCAACTTAGGGCTGAAATCCAGAAGAAAAGTTTGAGTTAGACCTGTATTCCACACAAATTTATTCCGTGACCGGGTTCAACAGCACGCAGAAGAACAAGCTGCCAGTCAACTGACAATACTGGGAAAACCAAGATTTTGGAAACCAACTAATATCCACAACATTTGTCTGGAAATACACCACTAAAGCAAATGGCATGGACGACTGGTGTCTCCCGAGTCTGGGGGGGTTCACCAGCAGGGCATGGCCAGGAGGGAGGGGTGGTCCCCCAGCGGCTGGGTGCCAATTTCAGGGGGGGCACTGGCACTCTCCATGCCCTGCTACCAGCTGGAGCGCTCGCTGTCAGGGGGCGACCCTAACACCCCCCACCCCACCCCAGGCATCACCTATGGCAAATGGATTTCAAGACCTTTCTAACAAAACTGGATAAGTAAATTGAATATAGCAAAGTACAAGAAAGTCTAAAATTTACCTCCAGTTTGTAAACTTCCATCAATAAATTCTTTAGTCTGAAGGAAAAAAAAATGAATCGGTTCCATTAAGACATGCAGTTCCCATTAAAGCTGTAAAGGCTAACACTGCTTTTTTCATTTATGTTCCAAAGAGTTGCTACACTAATCACTACGTACATACAGATTTTACATACTGAATGTGTTGTTTAGTGGTACATTTAAAACAGGACTGAAAAAAACACAGTGTTTTATTATCATAAACGGTCAGTGGACACTTATTCAGGCACTACCTGAAGATTCAGTTAATTTATACAAATTGATCTGATGCAACTCCAAGAAATTTCCTATCAATCCAGTGAAGGCATTAATGCTATTTGGAAGTTAATAGATGAAAATAGGTCATCAATAAGAACTTCATCAAGAACTGCATTGACAATAGCATGTCTGTTATAACAGGTCACCTTAAGTTTTCCAAAGACCTTATTTTCAGTGATAAGGTGTATTTTTAGTTAATCAATATGAACTGTGGTCCAGCAAGCTCTCTGGACCAGTTCCACGTATGAGCAAATCAAGTGCTGTCAACTCTTCCTTGATTCCATTTTTTTTTTTTTTTTTTTAAAAAGACACCTCCCCCAAAAAACAACTGGGGCTTCCATAAAAGCAGCTGGAAATAAAGAGTGCTGCAGAGCAGAGAAGACCAGAAATGTCTGCAGCGATGCACAGCAACACCGGGTTTAGTGCAGGCTGACAATCACAAAGATGACAGTGCAAGCACAGGGAGAAGAGGATGGAAATGCAGGGCAACTGGTACAGGAGGGGTGTGAAGGCATTAACTGGCAGAGCAGCGTGTTGCGGGAGAGGAGGGAGTAACTCCATGTACTGTTGTACATTCAATGAAAAGCATTTCTTCCTAAAAGACAGACTTGGTACATACTGGCAACAGTCCAATGCTATTTATTATTTAGCACTACTATCTGGTTAGTAATGGCAGGACTAGCCACAAGCATGCCGTTTTGTAACATCACTCCGATTTGGATTAAAAAAAAGCTGTCAGCTAAGTGGTCTGCCTTAAGAGCAACAGAAGAATCTAAACTGTAAGGCCAGAAACCTAAATCTACTTAATATTTTGTAGAGGCCATTTAATATGGCAGGGGTGGGAGGGAATCCCCACAAAATGCTTCAATCCTCTTCAAACAGACAGACAATAAGTGAACACCTTTCATCAGGATTTCTTTAACAACTTGTTCTGTTTAAATATGTATTATAAGTGATTTTAATTATGGATATTAACTAGTTGTCTTTAGGGTACAAAAGGTAAGATATGCTTCCAGAAAGTAACATGATGCTGTCCCCTCAAGTTCCCTTCCATCATCTATCTGTACTGACATTTGCTTTAAGGAAAATATTTAAATACTGTGGGACCGATACTGAAAAAGGTCAAAGGCCTTACAGGCCAGAGATTCCCAAAATAATTAGCAATTTTGGATGCACACCTTGAGATACCTTAAAGGCACCCACTTTTCAGAAAACAATCAGCACCAGCCTACTGAAACAAGTTCCCCATAACGAATGTGCAGCTCTCATCAGATTTCCAACCCCTTTCCGCAGGTGGTATCATCTTCATCTTAGCAATGAGAAATAGGAGATAGAGAGATGAAGCGGTTTACCCCAGGGCCACCCAGCAGGACAGTGACCAAACCAGGAACAGAAGAACCATAAAAGGTGTCTAAGCTGAATCCCCAACATGGAGGCATCTAAGATCATTTTGGAAAAATCTGACTGAATATTGCCCTTCCCATTCAAGTCAATACACTAAGATACTTACCGTAGGGAAAAATCGGATTATATTTTCAACAGGATTATCTGCAATATCCAAGACTAAATATCTGCAATTAAAACAGCCACTGTGAGCACACAACAGTATTTTTCTTGTATAGGCAGAGTTCATTTTGGAAAACAGTTCTGCTCCAACGTAAGCAAGAAATCTGCAATAGTAATACCGTATTTACTTGAATATGAGATGAGGCCTTCCCTCCAAATGGCATGAGAAAAAACCCCTTTGTCTCAATTGCATTAGGAAGAGGAGGGAGGAGCAGGCAGCTCCAGTGGCTCCGCCTCTCGCCCTGAGCCTGGATTGGGGGCCAGAGTCAGCTCCAAGGCAGGCTCCACCCTCCACCCATCCCTTCCCCTTACCGTCAGGCACACCTCAGCTCTGCATTGGGCAGGGGTCTCTCCTGGCACTAAGCACATGGAAATTCCTTCCCCTGCCTAGCCAGTCTGCCAGGCCAATACTGCTACACTGCCTGCCCAGCCAGTCAGCAGAGCCAGCAATGCTGCCTGGCCAGCCAAGGGCTGAGCTTCCAGATGTTGTGCCCCAGGGCAGAGCATCCCCAGCAGCATCTGGCAGTAAGTGGAGTGAGGGGGGCAGGGATAGGGAAGAGGCAGGCAGGGCAGAAAACAAGGGACACACCCGACCCCTCCCCAGCCACTGCTTTCCCTGCTGTAGCAGTGGCAGGGGGTAGGGGGATTCATGACAACCCTCCAATACTGAGATTCTATAGCTGGGAAATGATAACCAATTTAGAAATTTTCCATATATACAATCAGATTTGGGGGCAGGAGGGGGTCATCTTATATTTAGGGTCTTTTTATATTCAAGTAAATATGGTATACTGCCACATGGCCTCACTGTGCAGTCTCCTTTTCAAGGGATCTGTGGATAAAGCACCCTTCTAAACTGGTAAAAAGGGTTTTGACTAATTATAAAGGTTTTTATTCAGTCCTCAGCTGGAAGGAAGAGATCTCATTCAGAAGATGAAGCGAGAGAATACCTAGACACTTAACAATGCAGAGAAAGGCCTGAACACGCATTTATAGAATGCAAACAATTAGTTAGTCTGCGTTCCCAATGCCATCAAGATGCAAAACTGGACTTGTGCTCTCTTCTGCGTGCCTTGAAAAAGGTTCATACATTTATTTTGAGAAGAGTTACTGCAAGAGTATGTCCAGTGACCAGGAGGGACGCGCTGTACCCAGAACTAACAGTCAGCGACTGGGAGACAGCTAGTGCAAACTGATGAGGAGACCTCATGTGTGGCCTTGTTGACAGACCGTGAAGCATCCTGGGTTTGGTGGGACAAATCCAAACCACAGAACATACTGGACACAAACCTTAATTTAATGAAACGTATTTAAATAAGAATCTGACAGAACTATATGAACACATGATTACTTGTACAGCACCATACTAGTAGTAAGAAAAGACTGCTCCAAGCACAATAAAGTTTGACATAAAACTATGCCCAGCTTGTTTTTCATCTTGCAGAACGCCATCCTGTTTCTCCCTTACCTAAACATCTGTTGGAAGTTTGGCTTGATGAAGTTTGCTTCAATATTTTGCCGTATGCATATTACATGGGTTATTCCATGCTTCTGAAGTGTAGATAGCTGAAAGAGAAACATCAGATCAACCTTGTTAAAAACCATGACACTCTTTATGTAATTAGCATTATGAATTCGTGCCGACACTTCAGTTTAGTTTACGGATGGAGCAGGTGAGCAACTCATTGTGCCTAGGATATCATCTCATTCAATTCCAATAGGACCTCCATTATTTAGGTTATAAAAAGCTTTACCAGCATGGTTATGGAGGAGACCTCAAAACCATGAGCACAGGTAACAGATACAGAGCTGTCTATCCATGTCTTCAGACCAACTTAAAATCATCTCTCAGATGTGTGAGCTGCCCCATGCATCTGACTGGAACATCACGCCCTGCCCTGGAAGCAGGGCTGACCTCAGCAGTCATAGGGGCTGACTGCTCTCTACATCATGGTGTGCTATGACCCCAAATCACCTTAACAGATCATACAGGAAGTAAGCAGCCTGTCATTTCCACAGATCTGACCATTTAATACTTCAAAGAAAGGTATCAATATGACATATGTACGCAATTTATATTCACATTTACATTGTTACACAATTAATGTATCATTAGCTAAATTGCTTGCAAGTGAGAGCATTTTGAAAACTGTACCTTGCTTTTCATAGCTGAAGAATATGGGCCTAAAAATAACCCAGGTAAAATTTCCTATGGGGGGAAAAAAAAAAAGGAAGTTATTTAAAATCAACTCAAAATTAATTCAAATAAATACATTGCACTCTGAACTCAAACTATGGCCATGGAAACAACAAGTGCCTTACTGTGCAGAAAGGGACATGTTATCAAGTGTCATTTATAACCGGGTCGGGAAAATTGGTTTGGCAAAGAAATGTGAGCCACAGGAACAGAATCAGATTTTTAGAAGAGATTTTTTTTTTTTTAAATGGACAAAGCTCAGATGAAACGGGCATGCTCTACACTGCCCTAAGCTTAAACCAGTGGGCTTCAGGGGAACTGGGAACGGGGCCGTATTCAAGTCTTGTATAAATTCCAAAAGTTCTTTTGTAGCAAGGCACCAAATGTGATAAGTCTTCCAGCTCTAAGTAAGAGGACTAGTTTGCATCCAGTTATCCTCCCTCCATTAAGCCACTTCCAGGTAGGTCTAAGGACCTTTATTTTCTGCAAAGATTTGCTGTCATTGAACAAAGAGTTCTTCAAGGCTGCTATCTGAGAAGACTCACTTCTGACTGCATTTAAAGTCAGAAGCAAACCTCCAGCTGCTTTGTTGTCACCGTGGGCTGAATCATTCACAGAGGCAGGATACTGGGAGAAGGGCCAAGATTCTCTTTTACCCCATCTGAGATCGAGATTCACCTTTCATTCCACCTTGCCTCTCCCGTGCTCCTTCCTCCCCCTTCTCAGTCAAATAAATCCCCTCCCTTTATACTCAGCCTTCCAGGGAACGCGGCACACGCCAAGCAAAACAGATGGCAAGCCACCTCCTGCTGTACCGTCACTACTCTAGGAGCCCCTAGGGAAAGAGCGTTAAAGAACAAGCGAACATGCACCCTCCCCAGGGACGGACTTTCATTCCTCCGCAGGGCTGCCAGCGAGAGATCAAAGAGCCTGAGATTACTTTTGAACTCAGGGCTTTCATCTGACAGCTCTTTGTGCTTGTGGAAGAAGCCACTGGGCTTTGAAGAACGTAAATAATGTCGTACCTGCATCTCTCTTCTCATGGGATAGGTCCAATCCTTTAAAAAATAAAATAAAAATATATATACACGCATACGATAGGGAATGTGCAAAAAAGCTAATTTAGCAGTAAAACAAAAGGAGAACAACACAGAATAGCAAATTTGCTGAAAAATGGACTCTCTAGGTTGAACTAGGTGCCTGCCATTTAGAAGCTGCAGATTCAGAACGAGCTAAGTAGGGAAGGTTGTTGGACTAAAGAAAGCAGGATTCCAGTGAAGGAAAAGAGCAAATTTAACACTGTTTGCTGACTGGATCAAGTCTAACCTGTCTCTCAGGGTTCACCTCCAAAGAAAGCATTCAAAGTAGTAATGATGCCATGCAAGCCCCCTCTGTGGGCATACCTAGCGCTCGCTAAATATAAGTTTGCCTATTTGGCTTGCATGGAGTAAGCTAGCTCATACTAAGGCACTCTTCTGATGCACCAAATGCATTCACAGGGTACATAAGCAGAGTAGCTAGTATGTACACTCACATGCTGTTCCCTGTGTAGACAAGCCTTAGCAGGTTTTGCAGCAACAGAATTTTGTATCCAGTGTGACCAAGAGCAATATTCCTACAGCTGCTGAAAACACAACCAGTTGTATCAACAGAAAAACCCCCCCAACTTTCAGGTAACTCCATTTATAGTGTCACTTGATACACTCAAGCCAACTTCTTTCTAAATGTTTAGAACAGCTTTGCCAATTCTAGCAACGTACACTTTGCGTAGTGACTCCACATGCCCTTTCCATTGTAGAGCAAGTTGCAAAATAACTATCATGTTTATCTGAATACAAGATGAGGTCCATCCCTCCTACCCCAAATCAGCATAGGGAAAAAAACGCTCCAGGTCTTACATTCACATACAAGGCAACCTCATTAAATACACTGTCCATCATTCAAGTGCTGCCAAAAGCAGCATGTGCTCAGCCATGGAAACCAACTATGAAGCTGATTAAATGCAGCCAACAGAGCACGACTACACAACACACGGCCCATACTGGGCAAACATATCAATGGGAACCTACCAAAAGGATAGGTTAGCACAACCCATCGGAATAAAGTATATGGTAATGCTCATTTTGCTCAGTCCTTCTCAGCATAGACTCTTTTTCCAAGTCGTGGTGAGCCACTACACTGCATACATTTCAACTTCCTCTTCATGCCCACAGCTGAGCTGTGCCTTTCTTTCCCATATCCAATGATTTGTTCCTTCACCAGCCTTTAATGTCTGACAAACATCATCAAGCAGTTCACCCAGAATCCCTCTGTCCTGCCCTTTCTCAGCCTGTGGTATATGATTAGTGTGGTCCATGAGGGGGAGCTGGACCAGGTTATTGTGCACTTCATCAGCATCTAAATTTTTGCAGGATCCCAGGACTCATGACAAGAACACCTGGTTCCAGTTATGTGTAGGGAGCTAATTAGTACATGGGTCCTTTGTGGGAGGTATCTGGAGTACACACACATGCTGAGCAGTGCTGATGGGTCACCATGGCTTAACATGCTGTTGACTCTGCTGGGGCCCATCCCAATGAACTATATGGTACATTATGAGCCTTTTAGCTTTGGACTAATATCATACAGAGATTATACTTTATTTAAGTAGGTACAAAAGTGCTGCTTAAAAGCCTGTTTATGGAGTGCCTATGCTAAAACTTAAAGCAGTTTTCGAAAAGGTGAACTGCATCAATTTTGCATGAGCAAAGTAAATTTGCCAGACATACAAACTATGTATGTTTATTTCAAAATCAGGGTTTTCAAATTTGCTTCATTTCCATGTGCTCAGGCAGAGGGTGGGAGGAGCTGCAGGGGGAAGAGAGCAAGGGGGCTAACTGACCACCCTGATTTATTTTCCCTGTTGTAGCAGTGGAAGGGAGACAATTCAAGGGAAACCTCCAGTAATTAGATTCTATACCTAGAAGAGTATAACAAATTGATAAGTGTTCCATATATAGAATCTAATTATTGGGTGATCATCTTGTATTCAAGTAAATAGGGTATTTCTGTTTTTATCTGATAGTAACGACCCCATGGATCATAAGTGCACATGGCTTATATTTAGTCATGTGGATATGAATTCTATTTCTTGTAGCTAGCATGCCCCACTCCTGCACCACCACAAACCCTGCCTCCTTTCCCTGCAAGGCAACATCCATTCTGGTCAGTTCATCTTTGGCTCCTTATATACCACATCTTAGAATATTCTGTGTACACACTCTAGATCAATGGTTCTCAACCTTGTGAGATTCAAGGCACCCTATTTCAAAACTAACTTATTGCTTACCCTGAGGACAGGGAAATGCTCAGGCAGGGATGAGCCTGTGCTTATCTGCTCATCTCCTCTCACCTTGTGGCACCCTTCACAGGATTGAGACACTGGTTGAGGATCACTGCTCTAGATGCTGGGACCCGTTTCTTCCTCCCTTTTCACCTTGCAGAACCTCCTTGTTCCCTTCCTGCTTTACAGTACGTTGTCCCATTTTGCAGTTCATTGTCTCATTAATTCTCTGTTCACGTCAACAGTCACCCATTTCCTGTACTTAATGGTTAGTTTTCATAGTTTCATAGTTTCTAGGGTTGGAAGGGACCTGAGAAGATCATCTAGTCCGACCCCCTGCCATGGCAGGAAAGAGAACTGGGGTTAAATGACCCCAGCAAGGTGTTCATCTAACTCCTCTTAAAAACCCCCAGGGTAGGAGCCTGCACCACCTCCCTTGGAAGTTGGTTCCAGACCCTAGCTGCCCTGACCATGAAATAGCGCCTTCTGATGTCTAACCTAAATCTACCCTCTGCCAGCTTGTGACCGTTGTTCCTGGTCACTCCTGGCTGTGCTCGGGGGAACAGTGACTCCCCCAATGCCTTCTGATCCCCCCTGACCAGTTTGTAACAGGCCACAAGATCCCCCCTCAGCCTTCTCTTGTGGAGGCTGAACAGGTTCAGGTCCCGTAGTCTCTCCTCATAGGGCCTGCCCTGCAGTCCCCTGATCATGCGAGTGGCCCTCCTCTGGACCCTCTCCATGCTGTCCACATCCCACTTGAAGTGCGGCGCCCAGAACTGGACGCAGTACTCCAACTGCGGCCTGACCAGTGCCGCATAGAGGGGGAGGATCACCTCTTTGGACCTGCTCGAGATGCATCTGTGGATGCATGACAAGGTACGGTTGGCCTTCCTAACTGCCTCCCCACACTGCCGACCCATGTTCATCTTGGAGTCAATGATGACTCCAAGATCCTTTTCCGCCTCCGTGCTGACAAGAGGGGAGTTCCCTAACCTGTAGGTATGGTGCCGGTTGTTCCTCCCCAGGTGCATCACCTTGCACTTGTCTGTGTTGAAACCCATCCTATTCTCATCCGCCCACCCTTGTAACCTGTCTAGGTCTGATTGTAGCCTGTTGCTTCCTTCTAGTGTGCCCACGTCCCCCCACATCTTAGTGTCATCAGCAAATTTGAACAGGGTGCTTTTTACCCCCTCGTCCAAATCACTGATGAAGATGTTGAACAGTGCGGGCCCGAGGACCGAGCCCTGCGGAACCCCACTGCCCACGTCCTTCCAGGTTGAGAAGGACCCATCCACTACCACCCTCTGGGTGTGGCCCTCCAGCCAGTTGGCGACCCATTTGACTGTGTGGGTGTCTACGCCACAGCCCCCCAGTTTCTTAATGAGAACAGGGTGAGAGACAGTGTCAAAAGCCTTCCGGAAGTCCAGGAAGACTATGTCCACTGCTACCCCTGCATCTAATGATCTGGTGATCTGATCATAAAAAGCCACCAGGTTGGTCTGACAGGACCTGCCACTGATGAACCCGTGCTGATTGCCCCTAAGCATGCAGTCCCCTGCTGGCCCCTCCTGGATGTGTGCCAGAATAATTTTCTCGAACAGCTTGCCTAGGATCGAGGTAAGACTAACTGGCCTATAGTTTCCCGGGTCCTCCTTCCTCCCTTTTTTGAAGATTGGAACCACATTGGCCCTCTTCCAGTCCTCCGGCACCTCTCCAGTGCACCACGAGTGCTCGTAAAGCCGTGCCAGGGGACCTGCAATGACCTCGGCCAGTTCCTTTAGAACTCTAGGGTGGAGATCATCCGGACCGGCTGACTTGAATACGTCCAGCCCCTCCAGAAGCTCCCTTACTAAGTCCTCGCTAACCCTTGGCCCAGGTGTGCCTCCCCCGGGGCCCGAAGGGGGCCCAGCTGGGAGGTTGCTGTTCTGGTCCCTACTTAGGAAGACAGAGGCAAAGAAATCATTAAACATGTTAGCTTTGTCATCTGGTGTGACGACCAAGTTTCCCAACGCGTCCTGCAAGGGCCCCACATTACCTGGGACCTTCTTTTTACCCCCCATGTATTTAAAAAAAGACTTCTTATTGTCCTTAATCTGGGAAGCTAGCCTCAGTTCCATCTCTGCCTTGGCCTTCCTAACTACCCCCCTACATCCCCGAGCAACTGCAGAATAGCCCTCTTAGTTAATAAGAGCTAATCAAGACTGAGAACTACATCCACCAACATGGAAGACAGCCACTTTAAAAAAATATGCCACCTAAAAAGATAACAGGTAGGAAAAGGAAAAACACACAAGAAATGATCAAGGTGAAACACAGCTTAGTTCCAGCAGCTCTGAGAGTATTTACATTTGCTCTGCTAAACTGCCCTTTCACTTAACCACTTCCAGTTTCTAGAAACTCTTCTATGCCACTCCAGGGCTCTGTTAAAATTCCTTCTGTGTTCTCAATGAGAAAGTAAAAAGGTATTAAAAAAAAAAGAGAACGAGCAAGCGAGCAAGAGCAAGCCACTGGCCCAAGCTCTGATAGCAGGTCATGGGCACGGGCACAAGTACACTTCTGCAAAAGGATTGTGGAATGTGAGTTCCTGAACCCAAAAGCAGGAGTAGGAAACTGAGGTCTCAAAACTTCATTACTGCCAACCCTAGGGCTTGGGGATAAGTTGACTCTTTATCCCTCCTCTGATTTACATACATTTCTCAATGAGTCTTTAACTGACTCTGAGATGGTGTGAACATTAGGAGCTGTGGGTATCCACATACAATTCTTCTGCTAACTCCCAGACTGCAGAATAGAACCCAAGACCCTGTTTCTCAGGGAGAAGCAATTTAAATTAAAGCATTGTTAAAGCGTTGTCCTAGACAACGACCCATGCTTCCGGGAGGGTGGATTGCTGGGGCGGGATGGGCTTCATCTCTCCCCTAAGGGCAAGTGTGTCTTCTCTTCGAGGTTGGCTGATCTCATACGGCAAGCTTTAAACTAGACTCGCCGGGGGAGGGGGCTGCCAGAAGACAAGGAGACGCCATCAGGGCAAGGAGGGCAAGGGTAAGTAATGGGGGTCCTGATAGTCTTCCTAATCGGGGGGGGGCGCACACAGTCATGCAAGGCCTTAAATGCCTGTACACCAATGCTCGTAGCATGGGGAACAAACTGGAGGAACTCGCCCTCAGAATAGCTAGTTCAAACCCAGATGTCATAGGGCTGACAGAGACGTGGTGGGACTCGTCCCATGACTGGGCAGTTAAC